GAGCCCACTACAGGCCAGCGAACCTCTGGCAGAGACAGGATATCCAAATCAACCTCGTTCGCGACCGATTTTAAACCACCTGCCGAATTCAAACTCCTTACGTTCCACGTATCAATAACTAAGAGATTTTGGAATAGTGATAAATTATTCGCCATAAGACATGTGGGAAATAAATAAATTTTCTGGTTGGAAAGAGAGGTGTTCAATATCGACAGTTGAAGGATAATTAGAAGAAAAGGATAGTAAATGATCATTGTGATCACCTGGGAACATTAAGAAGGAGCTGATATTTTTCGTTCCTGGAATAGATAATTTTCGCAGATTTTTCAATATATATCAATATGGAATCGGGAGTATCAGAGAGCGAATTGTGGAAATGAAGGATTTGTTTGGATTTATATGTTGAACTATATGATATATTATAAGTACTGGTACAGGTAATGGTGGGGGGACTTTCTGTTATGAAGTGGAGGGCAGTCTCAGATGCACTTCTGCAAAAATTGCAGAGTTCATCATCCACTATTCTACAGATCTTAAAATGTTTTTTAAGTCTGCAGTGGTCTGTTAGTATTTTCCTAGTTAGGCCCAGCAGCCACTTTCTTTTGGAGGGAACTGGTCTTGTCCGGAAGACAAGTCTGGAAACTTATCTAACCCAGTGCATTCCCTCCATTCTTTACCTGCTTTTTTCTAGGTGCAATAAAGTATTTTTTCCACTGATACTTTTTGGATATTATGATTGCAGGTTCCGGACCTACAATAGAAATAGAACCCACCACACCACGCTGCCGTATTGTATTCTAGGTCTAATTATTGTCGTCTATATCCAATGCATGACTTTAGGGTTAAAGCCCCAAGTTATGCCAACACCATGTCTCAATTTTTATCACTAGTAACGATGAAAGAGAGTTATTTATTTAAAATAAAGCAAACTAAAAGTACTTTAGATGAAGAAATTTTGAACACTGAGCATTTAAGCCCTGTTAGGCGACATCAATGAGGATAAGACCTAGCCGATATTAAAAACATTTAATTATACATTAATAAATCAAAAATCGATAGACATTTTTAAGAAAATTGTAAAAATGTGTAAAATCGATGATATAAAGTGATATAATTAAGCAATACAGAAAAACACAAAAGACCTCACATTTGAAGAAACTCTTTCTTTAATGTAAAAACACTTAAATCCTAAACCTTTAGAGCTATTGGAAAGACTAAGTAAGAGAGTAATACATCATCTGAAGGTAGAAGTCTAGAATTAACTCAAGGTCGGTCTAGATATGGGCAGAGGTAGGAGGGAGCAGTGTGTAAAGAAACTTTCACTAAATAAGATAATACACACTCATTATTTTTTAATGATAACCAAGAAAATATTAACACTTTTTTGTGGTGCAAATAATATTCATTGTACCAGAGAATGTATTCACATTTTTAAAGTGTGTAATTTTTGTAATATAAAGAGGCAATTAGAGAAATTATGTCAAAACAAATGGAATCAAAGAGGAAAATGAGTAAACTATTTAGAAGAAGACATAAAAGCGGAAGTAGATAACAATAATGAACAAGATTTTAACTTGCACTTACCTATATTTGTAATATATAGTATGGAAAAGTATAGTGATCGTGAAAATTTTCAACAGAAATACACATTGTGAGATCCCCTGAGTCAAAATAACCAAGTCGCGCAAAATGGTCAGTGTGTGTGTGAACAGTCTACCTCAAGAACGAAAAGTTGTACAAAAGTAAAATTGCATATTTAAGGTTTTTATATATCTGGGATGTTACAGCAACATTTTCATCAAAGTCGGCAATCGGAAGTGGCACTTTATCATCGATTTAAAATATTTTTACAATTTCCTCAAAAACGGCCCTAATTATTTTTGTTACATTCATTTTATCAATGTAAAATTAAGCGGTTTTTAATAAAATGTAGGTCTCATTCTCATGTATGTTCTCTAACAGGGTTTAAATGTCTAATTTTCAAAATTTCTTCCCCTAAAGTACCTTTAATTGTTCTTATTTGAAATAATTTACCATTTTACATTATTATCTGATATAAAAAATAGTTAAATATAATGAATGAAAAAAATTAATTGCTAAATAAAGGAAAAATAACAATTGGAAGCTATAGGGAAACGGCCGAGAGTGCAAACCTTTGCCGATCTTCTCTCTTTTCATATAACCGATACCCTTCTGTACTGGACTTTCATATTGTTTAATTTATTATGCTAATTCCTGCCATGGCTGTCAGGAATATTGACATAATAATTCTGCTTTAGTAGCAATAGAATTTATTGCTAGGACTGTAAAGTTAAAGAAGTTAGTGGACTAAAAATGTGGAGATATAAAATTGATTGCTTTATTTTAAATAATTTTGGAATTTACACACTTTAAATATAGGTGGGTTGGGATACTTGCGATTTTTTCTTTTCTTCTATTTGCCAGTCTTCTTTTTCATCTTCTCTCTCTTCCTTTCTTGGCCCCTTGCCGGTCGCTGTAGTGTTTTACTCCATGTTTAGGAAATCAGTGGAATTCATAATTTTCTTGCTGGCCAGCCTAGGGAGTCTTTTACTCAACGTGAGCGTCTACGCTTCAGTAATGCTTGACTCTTCATAACATCTGAGATATATAGTCAGTATGCTCGAGATCGCAGCTGTGTTGTTTTTTCTTGATTCAATTTAAATTAAATTTAAATGGGAAATTTGCTATGTTTCCTAAACACACACTGTTAGTTTAACTTTTATATATTACCTATCCATAATTTTTAGAACAGGTTTTCATACTAAATGTTGATGAACTACTAATATAAACCTAATAATATACAATGTTTACTAAAACTAAGTAATTTTTTTTATGAGTTTTGTGATAAATGTTTTCAATAAAAAGTAGATTTTTTCCAAAAGATCCATTTTCCCCCACAATCATTAATATTGCTTGATAGGAAATTTAATTTGCCTTAATAGGAAATGGAAAGTTATGCAAATATATAAATTTAACAGACTCGATGGGTAGGATAAAACATGGTAATTAATTGTTTTAAATGAAACTATACCATCGTTTTCACTTAGACTTTAGCCCAGTCAAATTAGCACAAAAAATGGGGGCCTATCTTGCAAAAGTTTGGATAATTCAAAATTCTTTTTAATATTGTTAAGTATGTAGTGAATATAAAAAATCCAAGTTTCAGCCTTTGAAAGCCTTATGGGTTCGCTGCAGTACTCCAAACACTGTCATGTGTTTATACCTGCAGTTTCATTATATGGACCTGTTACCAAGACTGAAAAGAAGATAGTAGGATTTGCTTTGTTAGCCATGTCTGAAGATGAAATTAAAAAAAGTGATGAGGAAGGGAAGTGGTTAGTGATCAAACCCGAATTAAATTAAAAAAGGAGAAAGTTGATAGAAATAAAAAAAAGAAGAATGAAAAAATGGTAAACCAGAAAATTCAGACAAAGATAATTGTGGTAAACCAAATAAGAAAACCATTGCTGATATACAGGAAACTTAACATAAAATGAAAAAAGAGGAAGAAAGGTCAATGATGATAGAAGCTGAAAATGGGAGACAAGAACAGAGCTGTCTAAAGCTAAAACAAAAAAAGGAAAAAGAGAGGAAAGAAAAGTTAAATGCTGAGGGAAAACTTCTCAATCAAAAGCCAAAAGCAAACAGAGCAAGAACAAAGGCTATGTCCTTAGGTTGAACAACTTTGCATTCTCCAGCCAAACCAAGGCCTCCTAAGCTTAAGAAAAAGAATAAAGAGTATATTGGAAAAGAGAAACCTGAGGATGAGGAAGTTGTAAGTTCAGGTCACAGCAAAACACCTAACACCACTGAGAACAAGAAACAGAAAAGGTAATTCTTTAGATGATGACCGTGCGGGTTACATGTGGTTCACAATCACTTCGATCACACTGGTTCATAGTGCCGAATGCATCCGGGTTTATCTGAAAGACTGTTTTCGGCGTTTCATGAACAAGTGTGACTGAAGTGACTGTGAACCACGTGTAACCCATGCAGTCCTCATCTAAATAATTACCAACAAAAACAAAGTTGTTTATATTATTACTTTTAAACATTATATTCTGTAATTAAAAGGAGGAATGGTCATATCTCACACATAGGTGGGGAGATAATAATTAAAATTATAACAAATGTTTCTTCAGTATAATTTTGGATTATGAATAAAACTGGAGTTACAAATATATTTCGTGCTGTAACAATTAAATATTTAGCAGGTACTACTTTACAAGTGTTGCTCTACTTTAATGAGTTACAATTAATATCTCATAATTACAGTATAAATGGATCTATGAGAATGGCTAAGTTTTTCCAAAAGTAGACAGAGATGACTGCACTTCCTGGTAAGCCTACAACACCTCAACTAAAAAGGACCTGTTAGTGGGAGTTTATTCACCCCTTTTGAGTGAGCAGAAGTTGAAAGCAACAAAGAACATAAAGTTAAGTAGGGATTTTATATTAATTTGTAAGGAACAATTGGAAATTTGTGCAAGTCGTAAAACCCACTCTAATTGAGTGAAGTTATACCCATGAACACATCAATAATCAGAATTCCTTAGATAGTGTAATCATGAGATCTTGTGTCCACATCTTACGCCATTTATCAAGATTGAAAAAAATTTGTAAATTAGTAAAAATATATGGCATAACCAACAAACAACTTTCACTGAATAAAGTCTTATCCTATCCTGAATAACTACTCGCAAGTTACATAATATTTGGCATAATAAAAACTTCACTGGAAAAGAAATACAGAGTCATAAACAAATGAGATGAGAAGAAAATAAGTCATTAGAAGAAAAAGGAACATCCCTTATAAGAGATGGATACAAGATTGAAAAAAAAATTACTATTAGATAAACGAAAGGTTAATTAGATGGTTAAATAAAAGAGTAGATAAAATTTCAGGAACTATAAATCGTCAATATTTCTATTAAAATAATCTTGTTGGAGAATACTATTTGAAGTTTTAAATTAATTACCTGGCCTTGATCGCTTTTTAGCTTCTTTAATCCTTTTCTTAGCTCTAGAAACAAATTTACTATCAACTTCACTCATCCTTATTTTATGATTAGGACTCAATTGTTTTTGATCTTGAACAAAAACAAAAGTAGCACAATTTTCACTATTGTAATAATATATTCACAGCACAAATTAATGAGATATAAATAGGATACTAATGATTAAAAAAAAAATGAGAAAATAAATATGAGTATAGTAGAATTCTATAAATTAGACATGGAATTGTTACAGCAACCCGAATTCACAACAAAACGTGAGGCATGGTTATAGAAGGTTTCAGGACCACTTCGCTCTAAAACATAGAGATCGAATATATTTACAGTTAAAACTTGTATTAAGTAAAAATGCACTATTTATTAATTGTAGTACGATAATAGCACTACTTATTAATGTACGTATTATAGGTAATAAATAAAGGTGATCAGGCGTCCCAAATTTTTAACAATTTGTGCTGCGTTTGCGGCGTATAGTAGTTGAAATGCGAAAAAACAACTATTTTTTTAAAGTATTGGAAAAAAATGTGTTTTTGTTAATGATAAATAGATTAGTTGCCTAAGACATTTCATTTATTCAATCGGTAAAATATTGATTTTTTTTTACAATTAAGGCTCGTATAATGTTATAAATCAATATTTTATCTTCTTATTTTTCTTTTTTTAGGAAGTCTACGTTTATATTTTATTTTTTTCACAATTAAGGCAAAAAAATTTCCAATTTTCTTCATATCCCTTTATTGACATTTATCACCCACCTCTAACGTTTCGGAACAATTTTCCCATCATCAGAGAAATTCTTATATTCACTGAAACTTGCATTTTTTTTTTATGTGGCACCAATTGTCAAAAATTTAAATATTTGTCACGTTCATTATATATTTATTTGGTGTTACACATCTTTTTTTTTCTTCATTGTTACACTAATCTACATCTGGCCATCTTCAATATCATTGTTTTACTTTGTACTTGTCCTCTTATTTCTTATTATGGCTGCTTGTGTTTTTTTTTTTTTTTTTTGTGTATTGTTGTTTTTTGAATTTTAATATTGGATATTATGTCCGAATAGTGTGTACCCAAGTGTTTTGTATCTGTTTGATAGTTTACTGTTCTATGGTATTTATTAACCCCCAGCATGAATAAAAATTACTTGATAAGCTCTGAGCAATACCAAATTTCCGGTGCTCCTTTTGGCAATAGGTTGGTGGTACTTTGTTTTACTTTTTTGGGGGGAAGAGGGGTGTTAACTCTCTCACCCGATTTTTTTTTTTTTTAAGATGGCAATATGTTTGGGAAGGTACTTAGTTTTACTTTTATTTTTTTAGGGGAAGGGGGAGGGTTAACCCCCCCCCCCTCTCCAGTTTTTTTAAAAGATAAAATGGCAATAGGCTTGGGTAGGTGGGTGATGTTTTGATGGGGGGGGGGGTTAATCCCTGTTAAGATATTTAAAACGTACACTTTGTTATTAATATTACATTCTATAGTTACTTTATGTATATCCTGAGTTTGTCAATAAAGACACTTAATAAGATTCTTTATAACTATTAGTTATTTAAAGAATCATAACGTGTCGTTGCTGACGAACTAATGTAATACTATATTTTAAATTAGTTGGAGTAATAATAATGAAATTGTTTAGGCAAACTTCAAGACCCATGAATTGGAATGATAATCCAGTTCATGAGTGAGCTTAATTTAAAGAAAGGTATGAAATGAGTACGAATATCGAATTTATATCGAAGCGATTGGAAGGAATACGCATGAAAAAAAAACGTAAGTGTGCTATTTTTAAACACATAGGAGAAGGAATAAAAAATTGTCTGAATAGTTTGGTCACTAAAAGATATAATTAAGCACCTCGGCAAAAATTTCATTCCTAAAAAGAATATTATTTATCTAAGACATAAGTTTTTTGGGTGTTCACAGCTAGAAATGGAAACATATAGTGATTATACAGTTAAACTCGAGGAAATTGCTAATATTTGTGAATTAGAACAGTTATTAGATGGGCTGTTAGTGGCATGCTTGTATTCAGGCATTAAAGATTGTCCGACCAGAGAAAAATTATTGAGAGAGCGAGATTTAAACATGGACAAGGTTTTGGAACCAATTAATGATAGCGACTAGGCAGCAAGATGAGGAGGTGCCTGGAGCTATGGCTGTACACTACACTAGAAGGGATAGAAAGGGGTGTTCCCAAAGGGGAGTCTTTTGTTCGGAAGATTATAAAGTGCAACTATTGCGAGTTCGAACATCCCACAGGAAACCGTTCTGTTTACAGACAGTCATGTAGGAAATGCGGAGGACTAAATCACTTAGCTTTGCAATGTAAAAAGGGTGTAACTAATTCTAGAGTGGGTAACGAGATTCAGGAGGGCTATTTGTCTGGGTGCGAAGACTTTATCATTGATATGGTAAGAGGGTTGGTGTAGGGATGTGGCGGCCCCATCGCCCAGCCATAAGGCTGCAACCAGCCACCGGTCCTCCAGGTTAAGGGAAACACTCAAACTAACCTGCACACAGTACTCAATAACAGCACACTACAACACCCTTCATTACAAACAAAGGTCAATCACAGTACACACCCCAGGGTCACCTCCCCTGGGTAGCCGTCCCGGATGGGGGAGTGCGTCAGGGAGCTGATAGGAGGCAGCCCCTCCACCTGACTCGGGGGCAGTGGGCCGATAACCCATTCTCCCAAAATTTAAATATCACGAAACCTCTACAAAGCACAGAAGCCGGACTGATTTTAAAAAATAGACCCAGGAACCGCCATAATGACTTAAGATTAGCATATTGGAACATTTTATCCCCACATAGCCCAGGAGCCCTTCGGGCGCTACTTGCAGAACTTGACATATACCGCGTGGACATTGCAGCAATCCAGGAAGTACGCTGGCTCGGATGTGACTCGCTAGAAAAGAGGTTCCACACAGTATATTATAGTTGCCATGAAAGCAAACACGCCTTTGGCACAGGATTTTTAGTTAGAGAAAGGGCACGTCAGCTTGTCCTTAAGTTCAAGCCTATCTCTCCCCGACTGTGTTATATGCGTATCAAGGGAAGGTTCTTCAATCTATCTATTATAAACTGTCATGCACCAACTGAGGTCTCATCAGAAGAGGATAAGGATATCTTCTACGAAGCATTGGTAAGCACTTTTAGGAACTACCCCGAAAATAATAACAAGATCATTCTTGGTGATCTTAATGTCCAAATTGGTCAGGAAACCATTTATCGTCCAACAACAGGAGCCTTCAGTCTACATGAAAGCACGAATGAGAATGCCCTAAGGCTCATAGACTTTGCTGCAGCACAAGGTCTAGTCATTGGCAGCACATTGTTTCCTGAAAAGAACAACCACAAAGCCACTTGGAGATCGCCAAATGGGGCAGTCACAAACCAAATAGACCACATTTTAATTAGCTCACACCACAGATCTAACCTTATTGGAGTTAGAGTCTATAGGGGCTCGGATCATTTCTTGAGCATCGCCAGGATCCGCCCTAGAATAGCAACGAAAAGAAATGTAGCAGCTGGTCCGGCCCAACAGAAATATGATGTATCCAAACTAAAAGACATGGAACAGTGAATAACATACCGGCAGCGACTGGAAGTTAAACTCGCCGAGGAGTTGAAAGAGAGAGCCGAGACAGTGGATGATCAGTGGGCAGGAATAGCCGAAGCTCTCAAAGATACAGCGAACGAGACGCTCGGACCTCAAACACGGAAGGCCAGGACACCGTGCTTTGACGATGACTGTCTAGAATGCACAACTCGGAAGAACGCGGCACATAAGAAGATGATCCAACGTTAGACGCGGCGATCACAGGCGGAGTATAGAAACAGGAGAAGGGAGGAAAAGAAGATCCACCGCATAAAGAAAAGAACATGGGAGAACAAAAGAATGAAAGACGTTGAGACCCACAGAACTCTACATGAAAGTAGGCTATTCTTCCAGAAGGTGAATGAAGGGAGGTTGGTTTTTAAACCGAGAGTCACCTCCTGCAAGGATTCAGATGGAAATCTCCTGACGGAAAAGGGAGAGATCCTGGAGAGATGGAGGCAGTACTTTGGAAAAGTCCTTCATCAAGACGATGCAGATGAGGAAGCCAGCATCATCTGAAGGGCGGAAGACCTCTCAAACGATGCAGAACCATCAGACCACGATGAAGGCGAGACGGCCGTTATGAAGCTAAAGAATAACAAAGCCCCGGGACAACACGACATACAAGCGGCGATGATTCGCTTCGGTGGCGAGGGACTTATAAAGGAACTCCACAACCTCATCCTTACAATATGAGAAGAAGAGAGGATGCCACAAATTTGGAGACAAGGAATTATTTGTCCGCTTCATAAGAAGGGCGACCAAACGGAGTGCGGCAACTACAGGGGTATTCCTTACGAGTACCTACAAGGTGATGTAAAACATCCTTTTAGATAGACTCACCCCTCATGCTGAAAGAGAGATAGGAAACTACCAGGCTGGATTCAGAAGGGGTAGGTCAACCACGGACCAGATTTTCTCCCTGAGAATGATTCTGGAAAAAGTCAAGGAATATAGGATGGATACGCACCAACTCTTTCTGGATTTCAAGTCTACGTACGATAGTGTAACTCGACCTGAGCTCTACCAGGCGCTAGAAGAAATGAGCATACCCAGGAAGCTGATTCGTCTGGTGAGAATGACCATGTTGGGGTCGAACAGCGTGGTTCGTATCGGATCTGAGCTCTCTGAACCTATTGGCACAAACATCGGCGTGAGACAGGGAGATGCCCTTGCATGCCTTCTCTTCAATTTGGTGGTGGAGTGAGCAGTACGCAGATCAAGGATCCAAACACGGGCCACCTTATTCAACAGTACGATCCAGTTGCTAGGGTATGCAGATGACTTTGACATAGCTGCCAGATCTGAGCGTGCCCTAAAAGAAGCATTCGTGGCTCTAGAACAAGAAACCAATATTCTTGGCTTAGTCATCAACGAAGCCAAGACAAAGTATTTAAGAATAGGACCATCAGAAGAAGGGACAGGCTTTTTTGAAGTTGGACCATATAGATCTGTGAGTGCGCAAAGTTTCGTATACCTGGGCTCAGAAATAAACACTCAAAATGACATATCCCAGGAGATCAATCGAAGAACTGCCGCAGCCAATCGAAGCTATTTTGGGCTAGCAAAATACTTCAAACGCAGACACCTCTCCAACAAGACCAAGATCGGCCTATATAAGACCCTGATTCGTCCGGTACTTACGTTATGGGT